CTTCTTCTTGCCGCCCTTGCCCCGGCTTCTGCTGCCTGGGCCCCGGCTGCTGACTACGCTGCAGCCCCTCGAACCGTCGCGGTGGCCGCCGTTGTCGCCATCGTCCTGGTGTGCAGGGACGGCAAGCGACTTCTGCTTGCTGTGCTGCCTGTCACCATCGCCGCCGCGACCACTGCCAAACTGCCAAAGCCACCGCGACCACTGCCACGGTCTTTGTCACCGTCGCCGTGGTTCTCACTGCCGCGGCAATCATCTTGCGTGTCGCCGCCACCACCACCACTGCCACGGTCTCTGTCGTGGTTCTCCTCGCCTCGGCCGCCGTGGTCACCACTGCCGTGGTCTCTGTTGAGGTCTCTGCCGCGGTCCTTGTGCGATCGGCCCGTCGATCGGCTGCGGCCTCTGTCGCGACCCTCACGGCCGCCACGGCGCTTGCCCTTCACTCGCTGCTCTCTGCGACCGCCGGTCATCATCGTCACTTGATTCGGGCGGAGGTGGCGGTGGCTTCTTCTCCGACTTCTCCGGCTCTCTCTGGCTGCTGTAGGGAGTCGGACTTGTCCACTTCTACCCCCCTGTGGTTCCCGCTGGTCCCGGTCCCGCGGCGGGTCCCTTTCCCGCGGCGGGTTCTTCGGCTCTGGCACTGAAAGCACCGTCGCCTTTCTTGGAGGGTGCAGCGGCTCCGGCACTCGTGTGCCCGCCTTCGGCTCTGGCATCGCCGCCTGCACAAGCTGAGAAGGTGTCTACATACAGGCACCAGCAAGCCTGTGAACCCTGAACCTGACTCCTGGCTGAACTCCGAACATCGCCTGGGTTGCTGACCGCCTGGCCGCCCCACCCACTGTCGCTCAAAGGCGTCGCAGTGTTTGAAGCAGCCCCACCCACTGTCGCCAAAGGCGTCGCAATGGTAGGAGCCAGCCAGTCCCTTGGGGTTGCTGGCCGCCCCACCCACTGTCGCCAAAGGCGTCCCAGTCCCGTGACAAACCCTTTCTGCCACCCTCGCCGGACTCCTACCTGGCCTCAAAGAACACCGCAGGCCAGTAGTTCCACCAGGGATGGGCCATGGACCGCCCAACACCAAGGCTCAAAGCCAAAAATCTGTGGCATCAAGCATCATTAAACTGTGGCGAGTTCTGATAGGATTGGCTTTGCAGACAGCTTGTGCAACACATCAATGTACAGTGTCACGACTTGATGCAGAAATTAATTGGGTCCTTGAAAATGCACCACCGCACATCATCATCTCAAACCTCAGAACACTAAACCACACCATCACACATCATCATCTCAAATCTCAGAACACTAAACCGCACCATCACTCTCAAATCCAAGAACACTAAACCGCACCATCACACACACACACACATCATCATCATCATCATCATCATCATCATCATCATCATCATCATAATCATCATCATCTCAAACCTCAGAACACTAAACCACACCATCACACACCATCATCTCAAATCTCAGAACACTACAGGCGGCGCCGAAACCATGTTTGTGCCAGCAGCATGACCTCGTGATTCGTGACTCGTCACTGTTCCGTGCTTACCTACTGAGCATCGGCCTGGGCTAACAAGAGGGCATCTACATCAGTGTCTGGCGGTTTGTATTGTTTGTGCCTGTCGCCATTTAGACCAGGATAGGCTGAGGCCTCCTGCAACCAACGCTGCAGGTAGGCAACAGCACGACCCTTGCCACGCACCTTGTGCACAAAGACATACAACCTGCAGTTGGTATGTCTGTCACACTGCACAAAAGCTCGCAACTGGCCGGAGGCATGGGTGTAATTGTCAAAATACACGTGGCAGCTCCGGACATTCACGACGATGGCTCTGCTGCTTTCCTTGGGCATGTTCAACTGCAAGAGCTCCGGATCGGACTGAGGCACCTCGCTACCTGCTGCGACACCCACAGCAGCAGCGGCCAGTACCTCATACCCGTCCTCTTGCTCTGGGTCATTGTCCAAGGCCATGTCCACAGCATCCGTGGCACGTGCTTTGCGGGCGCCCGCAAACTTCTGCCTAATTTCTTCAGCCGTCAACTTTGCCACTGCAGACAGGTCGACCGAGCTCATGAGGTACTCATAGTACTTCGAAGGCCCGTTCACCAAGATTCGCTGGAGGTTGCCCGGCTTCTGCCACAACAACACAGAAGTCAGCAAGCAGCGAAGATATGGCAACGACATGCCAAGACCCTGAGCAGGCAACTCCGCAGTGGCATCACGGCAGTGCCACTCAAAGAACCCACTCTCGTCGTCGCAGCGGGGCTTCCACCCGTGTTTAAAAAGCAACCTGAAATATTCTATTTTGGATGTCAGGGCAACCTTTCCCCGGGTTAAGAAGAAGTGGCTCAATTCCCAGACCGACAATGGTTCGGACCATGTGCATTCGGGCAGCAGCTGCAGGCTGCTGGCGATGCTCAAGGTCAAAGTCGCCGAAGGCCCCCTCTTCACCCGAAAGAATGCCATGTTGTTGCAATCTCTGAACAGCAGCAGCATTGAATTCCGACAAATCATCCACCGAAACATGACGCCCTCCCAAAGCCCCGTGACGAAGAAGCTCATGCAACAGATCCTCCTCGGCCTTCAAGAGGACAATGGCTTCAGCAGAAATTCGTACACGATCCGGCTCGTGTCGACGACCTGCATGTCGGCCTGCCTCCGCCGAAGCTGGTTGCTGAAGCTTGCGGCGGGCTCATGATCCTGAATGAAATCTGGGATTGGCACGAGGTCTGGTTGCCGGCATGCACCTGCAGTCAACACGTGCAAGCTGACGTCGGAAGCCCTCGGAGTCCAAACCCGGCACGAATGCATGAACACCTGCATCCGTGCTTGGTTACAGAAGCTCGCCAGCTCCAGAAACTCTTGCCTGTTCCCGCTGGACTGTACCCGCACTTCTGTGTCCGACAGAACTCGGACATGTGTGTGCAACATCACAAGTATGCTGCTTTTGCTGCGGCCCCGATCCGCCCGAACATCCTTCCGCTGCTCGGGTCGAGCATCCAGCACCGTGAAAAAGTACGGATCCAAGCAAACTGCTGGCACTACCATTTCTGTTCGCAAGCTCAGCCACAAGTCCTGAGACAGCATCTCCTTGCATGGTACATCTGCTTCCTCTTCCGGCTGCCTGGGTGTGTAGCGGAGGGCAAGCTGGAAGGCCTCCTCACCCAGCGACACCAGGCTGCCGTTCCGGAGATGGCTCTTCAGGAAGTGCACAATCTGATGAGGGGCAGCACCGTCGCTTACGCAAAGAAATTCGCGTCGCTTGCGCAAAGATTTGCCCAGTCGCTTGCGCAAAGACGGGTGTCGAATCCATTGTAAAAACCATAGGAACGTGCACTTCGGTCTTTTTCGGAAATGGCTTCAAGAAGCATGGGAAAGTGTCGAATCCATTGTAAATTTCATAGGAAAGTCCACTTTGCAAGTTAGCCGAAATTGACGACATTTGCGCGCCAAAGTGCCGAATCCATTGCAAAAACCATAGGAAAGTGCACTTGCCCAGTCGGCAAGTGCTGGCCGAAAAGTGCGTTTTGAGCTGTTTTAGGAAACATCTGACAGACCATCGAAAATGCACTTTTGGAGTCTCGAAAAGCATGTTTTCGTTGGTTTGGATAAGCGTTTTCAGAGCATGCTTCGGGGGGGGGTGGGGCTGGGGGGGCGGGGTGGGGGGGTCGGGTTGGGGCTGGCTTCCTGGCTGGGGTGGGGTGGGGGGGGGTGGGGGGTCGGGCTAACAACGTCAGGTTTGACGCTTGCAGCAAAAGCAGTTTCATTGTTTCCATGGAAAACGTATTCTTGGAGGCTCGAAACGCATGTTCCGGTTGGTTCTTGGGGGGGGGTGGGGGGGTGGGGTTGGGGGCTAAGAACGTCCGTGTTTGGCGCGTTTTGCAATCGAAGTCGCGTTGGCACCAGTACGTTCCGGTTGGTCCTGGGGGGGCGGGTGGGGGGGGTGGGGTGGGGGGCCAAGAACGTCCGTGTTTGGCGCGTGGAGCAAGAGAAGTCGCGTTGGCAGCAGTACGCTCTGGTTGGTCCCATGGGGGGGCGGGTGGGTGGGGGGTGGGGTGGGGGGCTAATAACATTCGATTTTGACGCTCGTTGGCAGCAGCAGGTGCGAGGGGTCCCGGGGTGGGGGGCTAACAACGTTGGTAATTGACGCGTGCAGCAAAGGAAGTCGCGTTGGCGCCAGCACGTTCTTGTTGGTTCCAGGTGGGGAGGGTGGGGGGCATGGGGGTGAGCCAATAGCGTCCGTGTCTGACGCGTGTGAATACAGGCGTTAAAGACCGACACGGCGAAGCCGAATCCTGTGACCTGTGCAGCGAAAGGCGCTCGGAGCCTGCAAAGCACAAACTCTGAACGGACCGCCGAAATGTGCTTTTGCAGCCTGGAAAAGCAGGTTTTGGAAGGTCCGAACCTCATGCCGCTCGGAGGCGAGGAAAGCAAAAAGTAACCGCTGCTTTCGTCCCCCTGACTCGCTCGTGCTGGGTTCCACATGAAGAAGCTTGGCTTGGCCTGGCCAGTAGCCGAGACCTCGCGTTGGACGCGCCGCACTACTGCCTCCCGCAAAGCATAAACTCCGGACCGACCTCCAGAACGCAATTTTGCAGGCTCCAAAAGCGCGTTTTGGAGGGGTTCCGAGGAAAGAACACCCGCAGAATCCAAGGAGAAGAAGTGCACGGTGCAGGAATGGCCTTGCAAAACACGCCGTCTTTCCACGATCCGCGAATAACCAACATCGTTTGGAATGCATGCGGCATGAAGCAAAACCGCCGCCCCCGTCGAGGTTTCGAGTCGATTGCTTGCTTTCAAATGCTTGAAAACAGGGGCTAAAGAGAGACGCGGCGAAGCCGAATCCTGTGGCCCTGCCAGCACTTTAACAACTTCGGAGCCAAAAAGCGCGATTTCGAGCGTGCACGCCCAACGCCGGAAACCACGGCCCTGCCGACGTTTCATGCACTTTCAGGCCTCCCCAACATCCCGAAGTTACAAGTAACGAACTCCGAATTCATTGGCCCTGCCAATACAAAACGCACCTCCACGCGTACAAGCGACCGCCCAACGCTTTGCACAAGCGAACGGGCAAATCTTTGCACAAGTGACCGCTCAGCCTCTGATGAGGGGCTGGGTCCAGCTTCAACGGCACGGAGTCTTCCGTGCGGGCAGCAGCCGAGGCATCCAGCAATGCCTTTTGGTACACGGCCTGGGCAGTTGCCTCCTCGCTCACGTCCATGAAGTGCTCGTCTGGGTGGTATGCATACACCTTCGCCAATCTCTGCACAACTGTCATTCGCCTGACTGTTTGCTTCGGCAAGCAATGCTCAAGCAGGTGTTCCCAGATCTGCCTATCACGCCAGTGTGCCACAAGAAACTGCAGCTGCTGGGGATCACCAATCATGGCTACGACCTGCTTCTCTCGCTTCCGGCTCGCAACAACCGCAGGGCCGGCATATCGCTGGCCTCTCCTCGCAGCATTGCGAATCTCGGAGTGCTGTCTCTCTGTGCCTCGCTCCGCGAGGCTGCAGAAAGAATACTCTTGCACCATGGTCCACGCCTCGGCATAATGGCGCAGGGGCAACTCCGAGTCTGCAAAAGCTTTTAGCTGCCGGCTTTCCAACGTCTGACCGGAAAAGGCTCGAAAGGACACTGCATCCACAAAAGCGCCACCTGTTGTCGCCTGGGAATACTGACGAAAGCCTTCCGAAATGGCGGCCTTGCAACGAGCCCAGGGGATGCCAGTGTACCCCCCAAATGCTGCACAGACCACCCAAGGGATGGTCTGTGCATATGCAAACTTGTGCTCGAGGACCACGCGAAGTTGCTCTGTCGCGAGTGCATCTATCGCCGTAACACGTGCTCGGACATCAGCCGGTGCAGCGAGCATCTGCGAGATGTACTCTGTGCGGGCCTGGTTTGTAAAGTACTGGATGAGGTCCGTCATCTTCCCGCAGGCCAGCTCTGGAAGCCTCTTCCCCTTCCAGCAACAAGTGCCAGATCCAGTTTCTTCCATCATTGTCTTTCGCCGTTTGGAGGCTGGCTGGGAAACCAATATATGCTCGTGGCAGAAACAACCCTCGATCCAATGTGCAAGGCGGGTTGCCGCCTCCGCGAACTTCCCAGCCCACACAACCATCCAACCATGCATGCCATCCTCAAGAATCTCCGTGATCTGCTTTGCAATATGCACATCGGAGCCAAATTCCTCTGGCCTCCAGTGCCTCAGCAGCAGCAACCGAAGAGGCCCACTGGCTCAAGACACGATGCAAAGAATCCCACCGCCACTCCAACAAAGTGTCCCGGAACTTATGCAATGTCTGCTTGTCTGCTGCTGTGCCCGCCCCCGCAGGGGCCCCCGCATCGAGCATCTTGACCTCGACTACTTCTTGGTAGCTGCGGGGTGTGAGCAACCTGCACACCGTGTTCAGCTGCTTGTGCAGTACCTCAAACTCAGGTACACTCTTCACTACAGCCTCCAGGGTGTTGAACACCACGTGCAAAGAACCAGGTATTTCCAAGGCTTCCGGAAAAAAAGGTAGTGCTCGCACCCTCTCATGTGCGGCGGCGGCAGCTCCTGTGTCCCTGGCAAGTCCCCGCACTGCCTCCTTGACGTTGGCTGCAGTATCTAAGGGGTATTTGCAGATCAACCGCTCCGTCCCCTGATCCGACAAGAAACCTCTCACTTCGCCTCTATACTGTGGGAGAGCAACCGCTGTGTTCTCCAGGCATATGATGTGCAGAACTCGCATGGTCTTCAGAGCTGCCGAGCTCTCACCTCGAGCGATGGTGGTCACTACCATGGTCCTCCGTTCCACGGCGAACCCTCTCCACGGATCTACTTGCCCGCTTGCATCCACTGGCACACGATGGACACTGTCTCTAGTCATCAGTTCTTCTGTGACCAGGAAGTAGTCGTAGTTTGCTTGCGGACTGCTGTCTGCCGACAAAAACCTGACCGTTCTTCGATCTGGCTGGTTCGGCCTCCGGCTCAAGCTGCGCAAACATCCAGCTTCACGAGAATCGTTCGCACGTGGCTCTTGGAGGGATTCACGTCTTCTTGGTTCGTGTTCTCAGCCAGCACATCCATCATTCGAAGCACAGTTTGCACCACCTCAGCCACGGCCGCTGTGGAGCTCAAGGAATAGCAGAGTTTTCCCATCAGAATCTCGGTCATGGGGCGCCTTCGGATGGCCTTACCTTCTGTCGAGACCTGCACATCCCAAAGAAGATCCGCTAAATCGTCCCCTGCACCGGCACCATCAGGAGCCTCTTCAGTGTCCCCTGCCTCAGCGGGGCCTGCAGTGTTTGCAGGCTGCAGAGGCAGGGATGGCACGGAAGGAGGCTCAGGCTCAGGAGGAGCAGACGGAGCAGACTCAGACTCTGCAATGGGCTCTTCGGAAAACGTCCGAAACCCCATCTTCCGACAAACCCCTTTAGGTACGGCAAGAACCAGAACAAGTTCACGGGCTCTCAAACTGTCGAGAATTGCAACCGGCACCTTCCAAAAACTCACCGAGCGCCGAGGTCTCAACAATTCCTCCGGGGCCCCGTGGGTTCTCATATGCTGTCGGCAGTGTTCGGGCACAGGTTGGTGTTGCACGATCTGCTTGCCGGGGAATGCATCTTGCTTTCGCAAAATGCACCGCCGGTCCGGGAAGTGAAACACATTGGCGACGTGCAGCTTACAGAATTGGCCGGTGAGCGACGCTGAACCTTTCCCAAGTTGCGAGTCCTGGGCTTCCCGGTCCCGTCGTCGCAAAGGTCGAGACATCCACGCATCTTGATGCGAAGCCAACTCACCGGCCGCACACGCATCCGGAGCACTTTGCAGCGACTCTGCGAACTCCACCAAGTAGTGGACCCCGACACACTGCACAGTTTCACCAGACACTTCTTCATCAGCTATGTCACTTGCACAAAACGGAACGAACACAGGCGGCTCACGCCCACGCCGAGCACGAGAGGCCTCGGCCTCGTTCTTTTTGTACTGCCGTCTTTTCTTGGTAGCTTCCGGTGTGCTGATTCGTTCCAAATCAGGCTCCATGTTTTTGCAATGACTATTCTAAATGTTGAGAAGTTGAGAAGTTTTAATACACTGCTTAAAGTGCTTGCAAACGGCTCACAACAACGGTTTTGCGACGGTTTAGGGTTTAGGGTGTTTAGGGTTTAAGGTTTAAACAACGGTTTTGTGACGGTTCAGGGTTAGGGTGTTTAGGGCCTAGGGTTTAGGGCAGTTTTGTTGTAGTCGAGTAAAATTACGTGCTTGCAAACGGCTGCGACGCGACATCTGACGAGGGGCTGAACACACACATCACACACATCCCACAAAACAACATACCTCAAGACTTAAAAACACAACGCAAGCCACACAATTTTGTCGACCCTAGACTCAAACCCTAAAAGTTTCCAGTCCAATGGCCAAAGTCACGCTTCGAGACCAAATGCCTGTCCGGCGGCCCAAATATTTTCGGGTACATACGAAGAGTTTAGCGCTACGTTATAGAATCCAGTGCATAGAATTATAGAGTCATAGCGCGAAGTGCATCTAAGTATGAAGTATATGGCAATGCCGAGATCGATATTTTTGAAACTATGAACTTGTCTCTACATGTTTTACTCTGCGTTCCTCAGTCGATGTTGTCAAAGCTGTCGAAGCAGTGTATAAACTTAAGTTAAGTATATGAAGTCAACTGCATACGGCGAAGTGCATAGAGTCAGGTGCATAAGTCAGGTGAATAAGTATCTAGAGTCATGGTGTCAAGTTGTTTCAGTGCAGCCAGGTCCGTGGTCGGTGATCGTATTATAGTGCTGCGGTATCCTTGGTTGGAGCTGATCCAGCAGGGAAGACGGTAGAGATTCGATCGAGGCAGGTAAAGAAGAGTCCTCAGTATGGTAAGATGCTGCAACATGTTCATCCCTTCGAGCAAAGCATGCGGGTCATACATGTGCAATGAGAAAGCCTCTGCAATCGACGAAGAGATTCCGAGCCTGAATAAGTCATCGAGCAGGCACCGGCGACGCCTCATTGCAATACACACTGACTCACGCAGGCAGTGACCAACGGCGGCGATTCCCCATGAAGCGTCCTGCTCGGCAATGCGCCGCGATAGAGCTTCCAACAACTCCGCTTTGGAAAATTTCCGCCCGGCTGACTCCTGCTGCGCATCCACCAGCGACAGCGAACCCACGGGGCTGATCGCGAGTCCGCTTCCCGAGCTCGTCGCGGAGCCAGGCTTCGCCGTGCTCGGCACAGCCCTCTCGCAGCTCCTGTAGCTTTTGCTCCGACGCAGCAACAGCATCGACCTGACAGCAACGAAGCATCTAACCTGGCCACGATACTGACGCTTCACTATATTACAAATTGACACAGACAATGATCAACGACATCGATTCCCCATGAAGCCTCCTCCTCGACAATGCACTGTGATAGAGCTTATACCAATTCCAGCTTGGATAGCGTGCGCCAGGACGAGCCCTCTCGCAGGCCGGCCCTTTCGCAAGACAGTGTCTAGTCAGGCAAAGAACCGTCCTAAGTATGGTGAGATGCTACAACGTATTTTCCCTTTCGAGCAGAGCGAGGCAGGTAAAGAACAGTCCTCAGTATGGTAAGATGCTGCAAGATATTTCTCCTTTCGAGCAAAGCATGCGGGTCATACATGTGCAGTGAGAAAGCCTCTATAATCGACGTAGAGATTCCGAGCCATAAGTCATCGAGCAGGCACCGGCAACGCCTCATTGCAATGCAAACTGACTCACGCAGGCAGTGATCAACGACAGCGATTCCCCTTGAAGCGTCCTGCTCGGCAATGCGCCGCGATATTCTGCTGCGCATCCGCAGCGACGGCGAGCCCACGCAACTGATCGCGAGTCCGCTTCCCGAGCTCGTCGCGGAGCCAGGCTTCGGCGTGCTCGGCACAGCCCTCTCGCAGCTCCTGCAACTTTTGCTCCGACGCAGCAACAGCATCGACCTGACAGCAAAAACTTCACGTGAAAGCACGAAACATCTAACCTGGCCACGACACTGACGCCTCACTGCAAGACAAACTGACGCAGACAATGATCACCGACATCGTTTCCCCATGAAGCCTCCTCCTCGACAATGCACCATGATAGAGCTTATACCAATTCCAGCTTGGACAGAGTGCGCCAGGACGAGCGCTGCGGCACGACCACACAACTAATCGCGAGTCCGCTTCCCGAGCTCGTCGCGGAGCCAGGCTTCGCCGTGCTCGGCACAGCCCTTTCGCAGCTCCTGCAGCTTTTGCTCCGACGCAGCAACAGCATCGACCTGACAGCAAAGACTTCACGTGAAAGCACGAAACATCTAACCTGGCCACGACACTGACGCCTCACTATATTACAAATTGACACAGACAATGATCAACGACATCGATTCCCTATGAAGCCGCCTCCTCGACAATGCACTATGATAGAGCTTATACCAATTCCAGCTTGGACAGAGTGCGCTAGGACGAGCGCTGCGGCACGCCTGCAGCGGCAGCAAGCCCACACAACTGCCTGGTAGTTAGTTCCCGAAGCTCCGCACGGAGCCAGGTTTCACCGTGCTCGCCAAACCCTCTCGCAGACCATTCAGCTGCTGTGGCGGCAACGCCATGGTACTACTACTACTACTACTACTACTACTACTACTATTATTACTATTACTACCATCTACTAATACTACTATTACTACTATTACTACTACAGTTCGAACACTCGACAACGCCAATCTCTGTGAAGGGTTGCAAATTTCACCTCAATGCACATCAAAAGTAATAACTTTAGAGAGTGTACGACATTACGGGCCCCATATTTTCCAGTCAAAATGCTGTTTTCTAAGAGTTTTCATTACAAAAACTTACAATCGTCATAATTTGCATACTAGTGGTTTTCAAGCTTACTTAACCCTGTTGCTCTTGATGCCTGATATGGGAAATACTTTTCCAATCAACATGGGATGCACGTGTGACTACCTTTCATTGTGGAGTCTCATGAAGACTATCCGATAAATCAATGCCACTTCAATCTTGTGGTTGTTCTTTGTGTCTCATAGTATAATCTTGCAGATAAATGAGATACAATGCGTCTGCGAAACCGTGCATTTCTCCACCCTTGAATGATGTACAAGACCGGTCAATCTATATAACTTTTGTATATCAACGTCGCTTACATATCCTACCGGTTTTTGCAGGCCCCATCATGTGCATGGTAACATATGATTTTGGATAGATATAGACGTCCAGCATATACTGTAGCATGACAAGTTGAGTTTGGCATCATACAGGCAGGTTGCTCAAACAGTTCCCACCGTCTCAAGCTGTATACATGCAGGCGATCAACTGGATCGTGTTACCGGATCCATTTGCATATGTACATATATACATATATGTGCATAGATGTCTTTGCTACATTCAGTTTCGATACCGTTTTTTCGTATGAATGCTAGCTTGTTTAGTGCAACCTCCTTCAAAAGCGTATTTATTGTTTGCGATTATTATTGCATTGGTTGTCCTTGTTTCGGAGCTCCCAGTCCAATAATTTGTCCAGTATTTGGAGCTGTGTGTGCGGAATTGTGTATTTCAATTGCAATAGCTTCTCACAGAAGCCAACCCAGAAAACTGAAAACCTACGACCTTCGAAAGACAATCATCGCATGGATGTTGCTGTATACATCCTGACAGCTACAATGCTGGCTTATTCAGATTAGTGATCATTGCGGCTGAAGCCCACAAGCCCCCAAAGGATAAGGATATAATTGAGTTAGTATACTTTTCAAGGAGATGGTGCTTTGCTATCATTA